GCTGCGGCCGCAGCGGGGGCGGGTCCCGGCAGAGGGCGGCGGATTCAAGATGGCGGCCAGCAGGCAGAGGCTTTCCCGGCGCAGGCGGGAAGGGCACGGCCCGGGCGGCGGCCCGCGTCCGGGCACGTCCACTCCAGGCCAGCCGTGGTGGCGAGCACCGGAGCCTGCCTGAGAACTTCTTGCCGCGGCCACGCGAGGAGGGCGCTAACCACTTACCTTCGCTCTTCCGGCCTCGACCTTCCTGCGCCGCCGCTCCTGCTCGTCTTCCTCCATGGTCCCCCGGAGCTCCTCGACGGACACCCGCAGGTGGCGAGGAGACGCGGCGCCTCCCCGCTCTATTTACACTCCCGCCCCTCGCCCGCTCGCCCTCCCGCCCTCCTCTGACAACTGTCAGCGCCGTGTCCCCGCCCCTCTGCGTCCCAATCAGGGGCCAACTGCTCGCGCGCATCCGCGCGCTCTGGTGACGCAACGAGGGAGGAGCTCAGGGCTCCGATTGGCTTACTGGCCCTCCCGCCTCCTACGGGGCGACCAATGAGCTGAAGGCAGCTGAAGGGGACTGAGGAAGTAAATGACCAGCCGCTGTCCCCGGTCGTGGTACGGGCACCCGAGCGCCCTCAGCTGGCCGCGGGAGCTCCGGCCCGCGGGGCCCGCGCCTCCCTGGTGCTCGGATCTACGGACCGGCCGGGCCCGGCCATGAGGCCGGGGGGGCTGCCCGGAGGCAGGGCCCGGGCCCCTTCGCCCTAGGCCGGGCGCTGTTTGCCCGCTCCTCAGAACCACTTGGGAGCCGTCTGCGACGCGGGAACCCGACGGGCCGCGGGCGGCCGGGGCCCTCGACACGCGTCGCGCGGTCTAGCGGCCAAGCACGCGGCTCCCTGCTTTAAGGGTGCTGTGCAGAGCGCGTCCTCCCAGACAACAAAGGAGGGAAACCACGGAGATCAGAGCGACATCGCAGTGGTGGGTGGTGGAGAGGCTGGCCAGGGTAGGGTGTGGTGAGGCCGCACCATCCACCCAATTCCCACGCTGGTCCAACCCGGCCGCCTCAGCCGGTGCTTCATTTTTGGGGCCCTAGGGTTTGAACTCGGGCTCAGACTTGTGAAGCAGATGCTCGACCACTAGTCACACTGCAGCCACTCTTCCTTTTCTTTTTCTTCTTCTTCTTGTTCAGCTAGCACGCCACCACTTCAGCCACTTGACAGTACTCAAAACTCAGTCACCAAAAACAGGGACCTCAAAGACACTGTCACTGCTGGAGCCACAAGGAGCCTCGGGACGGGTCCTGAGATTCCCACATTGAGGGCATTTGGCAAAATACTAAGACCAAAAAAGGTTGGATTTTATTTAACAATGTCCCAACAGTCCTTCATTAATTATAGCAAATATGTCTTGCCTGTAAGTAAAGCCATAATGCGTTGTGTGGAAACCAACATCTTTTTCAACTTTTCTGCAGATCTAAAACTGGTTCTAAAGGAGTGATACTGATCCAGATGCATTATACTCACAGCCTGACATGTTGAAATGGAACGCCTTCGTACAACTACTTAAGGATACAAACTGATTCTACAATAACCTGTTTAAAAAAAAATTCTGTGGTTGTTTGTTAGTGCATACCTGCAGTCCCAGCATTCAGAAGGCTAGGGAGGGAGAATTGCTTTAGCTGAGGAATTCAAAACTATATATCTGGGCTATATAGTGAGACCTTTTCTCAAAAATAAAGCTAAGAAAGTCATGCCCACTAGAAGGCATGTACCTGATGGTTACCACCTTGTTTCCCTGAGTTGTTGAACTAAGTTAACTGGCCAATCCACACTCAGACCTACCTGTCAGTCTCCTGGAACTCCTGTCAGAAAGACATGGACACACGCCAGTGTCTGGATTTGGGGATGGGTCCACTGGAGCTAGTAGTGCAGTAAAAGAGCTCAAGGCACCATCCTCCAAATGGAGGACCAAACTGAAACGGGCAACACCGACCTCTCTGCAGCAGCAACATTAGGTGGAACACTGATGTTACCGGCAAGGCTGGCCCTTGATTCTATGGATGGATGGACAGTCTCCTCTGCCCTAGCCCCTCCCACATCCAGAGAGGCTCCCAGAACCCATGTGGGTCATCATGGATCCACAGTACCTTTAAAACCCCAAAAGCTGAAGTATGAGGGCAACAGAACAACTTAGGAGACAATATTCAGAGTCTGATGGGATTTTCAGGGCTTTGTGGAACTGCTAGCCCTGCCCAGGATCCCCTTGAGTCCAGAGGCCTGGCCCACCTGCTGTCAATGCCCAATTTCATGAATGCGATTCATCCTCCTACACAGGAGGAATTGGCTCACTTGCAAACCTGGAGCTTAGAACCGCCTTGCCTGACCTCATTCCCCTGTCTTTGTCTGCCTCATGAAAATCAACTTCCTTCTGTCCCAGCACCCCATTTGACCTGGGGTCCCCTGGATGTAGGCACTCTTAGGTGCGCTCTGCGCCAGGTCACATCAAAGCTGACCTTACCCACAGGAGTGGCTATTATTGGCCCATGTCCTGTGTGAGGCACTGGCCTCTGGTGTGTGTGGGTCCCACCATACATGCAGCTCCAGGTCCCGGTCACCCTACCCCTCTGCCCCAAAGAACTTCCTGAGCCCTCAGGTAGGTCTTCCAGGTGTCCAGCTGCACTCCTGTCTTGCTTGAAGGGCTCCCTAGGAGGGTTAAGGGCAGTCCTGAGTGACAGGGTGGTGGGAGTGGCCTCCACCCATTCTTCCAGGCTCTGTCCTGAGAGGGAGGAGGTTCCCCAGGAGAGTCGGAGGTCTGTCCCTCTGTCCTGAGAAGGAGGAGGTACCTGGGGAGAGTCTTAGCTCTGGCCCTACAGTTGCCCCTTTACCTGGCTGTGCCTGTGGTTCTGTGTTGACAGGTAACTTGCATGGAGACTCTCAGTGGAAACCTGGCAACCCCAGTACCTCCCTCCCTGCCTGGCAACGGCCATACACAATCCCAGAGCTGGCCCCAGCACTTCAGTCCAGGGAGGAGATGGTGTCCTCCTGCTCACCCTTCTCACTCCCGAGTCTAGTCTCCAAAAACCCGTCAGAAGATCCTAGCCATAGCACTGAGGTGCCTGCTGCAGACAACTGAGGACCAGGGCCAAGAGCTGGCCTTGGCCCCCTCCCCTTCTGCTGTCATCTCAGACAGTCCTCAGGATGCTGGACTCCTCAGGGGCAGACTCCATGACCCGACTGACGCTAAGGCTCCTAGAACAGGTGAGACAGCCCAAACCACTGCCTCTAACTCCTCCAAGGAGACTGGCTTTGGAACTACAGAACAACACTTAATTTGCTTCCCACCCCTATTGGCTATGCAGATCACTTGGCAACTTACCTAGTTCTAGCCTCATGAAGGAGAAATGTGATTGTTTTCTTTGTTTCTCCTTTGCACTTGGGTAGAACCAAGTAGATTCTAGTAGATTCTGCAATCAGGAGGCAGGCTGCACCTCCAGCAGAGCTCCATGAAGCATGTGTCACTCTTCCAGTTTTTAAAGAAACCTCCTCTGCTTTGGAGACAGCTTGGTACTTACATCTGTGACAGAGGCTGGCCAGGTCCAGTCCCCTGTTCAGCTCTCTAAGGGTGTACTGGAACACCTGGTCCTGGAAGGCCACTGGGCTTAGGGTCCAGGACCTCAGTGCCCTGAGTGGCCAGTGTTCCATCCGCACTGTTCCATTCCCACTGCCTGCCTCTCACAGGCCTGCACCCAAGGCCATGCTGGCAACAGTCAGAGGTGCCACTAGCCAGGTCTCATCCTGAAAAGTCTGTTTAAGGCTTGCACTTCAGGAATCTTTCTAGAAGAACCCACTAGAATGATCCCTTGCTGTCCATCAGATAACCCTTTGTGTTCAAGAAGGAGCTAGTGCCTCATGTTGAATGTGTACCCAGCACAGTTGGGGTTTTTGTTGTTTTGTTTTTGTCAGTCATGGGACTTGAACTCAAGGCCTGGGCGCTGTCCCTGAGCTTTTTCATTCAAGGCTAATACACTACTTTCAGCCACAGCACCACTTCTAGTTTTCTTGTGGCTAGTTGGAGATAAGAATCTCACAGCCTTTCCTGCCCGGGCTGGGATCCTCACACTCAGGTCTGGCTACTGGCACTCCTAGAGCTTATGGCATCACTGCTGGATACAACAGGTGGGCAGGGTAGATGCCACTAACCAACCTGAGTTAATACCATGCTCATGATGTTTCTCACAGAAGCTGGAACGAGAGCGAGAGAACATGGAAGAGGGCTCTGAGGGTGCCCACTTTGTGTCTGGTAAGAGCCTTGAACTTCATGGATCCACAGGGAGGCAGGCCCATGGTAACAGGTGCAGGGCAGTAGCCCTGGGAGCTGCCTTTGCTCTCAACACACTGCCGTCACATTCGATAGAAAGGCTTTTGTTTTCACCTGTAAAACAATACACACATGCATACCACCATTACCTATACAACTTAGAGGATACACACTCTTGCTAGCATTTTGCAGGTTAAAAAATGAAGTCACGGAGCCAGACAGACCCACATCCTTTAACTCCAGAGTCCGAATCTTGTCCTGTGGAAGGTGGGGTTCAGTCTTCCCTCCTCAGCTGCTGGTGACAGAGTACACATCCAGGCCTATGCCTCTCACCTAAGTAAGGGCCTGGGAAAGGGGTAGGAGTGAGTCTTGGTCTTTGGAATTAAAAGCAACTGAGCCATGGTGCTCCAGAAGCTCCAGGGACAGCAGGCAGAACTTAGCACCCCAATTCTAGGTGGGCCCAAGGAGCCTGGAAGAGCCCAACCCTGTGGCTGTAAATGTATTGGGGGGGAAGGGGAAGGGGTTGTAGAGCTTCCTTCCAGAGCTTCCTCTCACTCATACATGGAAGGCAGGCCTGCCCTCTCCAGACAGACTGGGGCTAGAACTTGCAGGGAAGCCAGAGCACTATGGAGGCCCACTGCCTCTCTGAGCCAGGAGGCTACAGGAGTGCTGCTTCAGTGTGGACTGCACAGGGGCCTGCCACAGACTCCCCAGTTGAACTCCCCACGTTGAACCTCAGCATGGCCCTTTCCTTCAGAGTCACCAGCCTCAGTCCTCCTTTCAGATGAGTGTTTACTGAGACCTGAGCCCAGGGGCCCAGGATACCCCAGCACCATGAGACCTGAGCCAGGACACCCCAGAACCCTGAGACCTGAGCCAGGACACCCCAGCACCCTGAGGCCTGAGCCAGGACACCCCAGCACCCTGAGCCCAGGACACCCCAGCAGCCCGAGCCCAGGACACCCCAGCACCCTGAGACCTGAGCCAGGACACCCCAGCACCCTGAGACCTGAGCCAGGACACTCCCCCCATACCCTGATGGAATGCATGACATCCCTGACCACCTAGATCACCAGCAACAAAATGGAGAGTGAGTCTGTCCCTCCCTCCTTCCAGGACAAGACCGGCTGGATGCTGCCCTGCAGAGTGCTCATAGGAGAAGGAAGGACCTGCTGCAGAGACTCTGGGTAGGCCACACACCTTCCAAAAATGCTGAAGCCCTCACCACCACACTCAGACCTCGCCCAGGGGTGGCCTTTTGGACTCCTGGGACAGACTGTGGATTGT